CAGGATCACAGACTATATGAAGTGAGAAACTCAATTCATTCAGATTTCCCTAAGAATCTGGTGATTATCAAATGAAAATGTGCTACAGTTTTTAATTTTCAGGGAGAAAAGATAATCTTCAGCCATTTTAATTTGCAACTCTTCCACTTTGCATAGTTATTGGAGAAAGTACTTAGTATCTCAGGGGAATACAGTTAGTTCTTATCTCCAGGATTTTGGAGGAAGGAAAAGGTGGTTGTCTCTTTCTGACAAAATGAATAACTGATAGATCTATTAGGTATGGTTTGTCAGGAGAGATTAGGCTCCCCTCCATAACACCCTATAAGTAAGCAGTCAGATCATCTGGCTGGGAGGATGGAATGTCTTGGTCCGAATCCCTTCCTCTGGAAAGACTTCCCACATGTTCTCCTATTTGCTGGGGAAAAGGCGGAAGGAACAGCATGCATATTTTTGCTGGGGTTGTGGTTGTTGGTTGGTTGGTTTTGCTCAGGCTACATTTGCCAGACTGGGCCCAGTAAGCGAAATAGGTAGGAAAATGCTTACTTTGCAAGTCAAAATCAGACTTCAGCATAAGCTTGCTGCATATCAGCATTATTGAACCTTTAGAAACGTTATGCCTATCTTCAAGTAAAGATACTTTTGGGATATTCCAATGAGAAATTTTGGCACTTTCTAAGTTAGGGTGTTAGGAAGTTATATGACCTCAAACTACTAACACAGGAAATTCCGCTGCTGCCCATTCTTAGTATAGTTCTCTGCTCCTTGCTTTGTACTGGACGTTGTTTCCTTCTAATAACGTGGCAAGGTGAATTCAACACCACAAAACTAACCTGATTTAAAAAAAAAATAAAAATACCCACACACAAAAAACCCACAATCAAACTCCATGCCAGGTTAGCATAGTGAATTACATCCTGTCTGACTGGAGAAATAAGGTAATCTCATTTCACTTGCTGAAGAGGAGAAACATGGCCCTGATTTTTCTATAGTCCTGAACCCTTTGCTGTCTGCAAGACTTGTGCAGAGTAATATGAAATACTACTTTTCCAATTCCAAGGTGTTTAACACCTGTCCCTCTGATGTAAAAGATTTGTAATGCACAAAGCAATAGAGATTTTGATCTAACAAATATTGGTGCTGTTAGTTGCTTTGTGGTAAGTATTCTTAAACTGTGATACTGCTTGGGGTTTTTTTCAGGACCCAGACCTGCACTCCTTAATCTGGAGGATCCTAGAGAATTAGTGGGTTGTCAAAGCGTATGTGTTCTTGTGATTTGAGTAGGGTAACCAACAGTAGGAGAATTCAAATGATAGTGATCCTGTGAAATGTTTCTTACTGAAATGTTTGGAGGATAGTAACAAAAAACACCAAAAATGCACAGTCTTGTTTGTTCCCTAGATTTTCATCTTTCAGAAAGAGTATAGAAGAAAAGAGAAGAATGTTTTTTGAGATAAATGCATATAGTAGGGAAAAAGGCAGGTCTATGAAGGGTAATTGTAAATGGTGTTGGAAATGTAATGCAGTTTATGCTGTAAAAATCTGAGCTGTTTCACTCAGTTACATAAAAAGGATTTGCCTTTTAAAAACAATCGCTTGACAAATTACTTGTAGGAATATATCCTGTGTGTTACAGCAGTGAGCAGAATTGAGTAGACAGACAGGGTTTTCTTTAGTTTCGCAGAATGGAGATTGCTTCTTTACTTGAGCTGGAGCACTTTATAGTCTTTGCTATCTTTGCTCAGCTTGCAGATTGTGAGATTTTCATTTGCAGCCTATGAGTAGCAGAGTGGATTTAGTGAAAATTAAGTCTGATTTAAATCAGTTTAAGAGTGTAATCCTTTTAATAAGACAGTGAATATGTCAGATGGGTTGAAGACAACATTGGAAAACTGGGTTTTTTCTCTCTCATTCCAGTCAGAGTGTGCAGACTACTTAGGTCAGGTTTAGTGAATGTGGAAGACAGGTAATCTTATACAGATGTATGATTTTTCATATTTCAAATACATAATTGTAAACAATAAAAATTCTCAGTGTTCAAGGAATGTTTTAACTTCCTCATTATGGAATGAAGCTGCGTGGAAGACCTTTTTTCTTTAGTGTGAAAGCCTCTTTCCTTTGAACTTAAGGCCTCTTTGTGTGGTGATTTCTTAAGTCTTGATACAGCTCAAATACAGAATCTGAAAAATGGATGCTAGCTGCAGGATGTTTTCTTTGAACATATAGGCCTCAGCTTTGCATCGTATCTGTTATATTTATACATTTGTCCAACAAAGTCAATACATTGGTGAGGAGTTAACGTACCTTTTGTGAAAGCAAATCATGCCATACCTATTCTCCGAAAGGCTCTGCAAACACATGAACAAAGAGTTCCATTTCTGAGGATTTCCAGAACGCATTCAGTAAAGCTCCTCATTAAATCTGTCTGGAAAAACTTGATGCTTGAAATATGAGGGAAGATCTTCATATGGATGAGAATATTCTGTTGAAATCTTAAAAACTAGTTTTCTCAATGAAGGAGATATGATAAACAGGCCTTTGTTCAATCCCATTACAGCTATTCTAGTATGCAGTTATTTTGTCAAGCTATGTTGCTGTAAAACGAAGTTGTATTTACTGTAACCCTTTTCCTCTTACTTTCAGTAATACCTATCGTATGATTGAACAAGATGACTTCGATATTCATACAAGATTGCACACCATTGTGAGAGGGGAGGATGAAGCAGCTATGGTGGAGTCAGTGGGCCTTGCGTTAGTCAAGTTACCGGATGTCCTGAACCGCCTGAAACCTGACATAATGATAGTTCATGGGGACAGATTTGATGCTTTGGCCCTGGCCACATCTGCAGCCCTGATGAATATTCGCATTCTTCACATTGAAGGTGGGGAAGTCAGTGGGACCATCGATGACTCTATCAGGCATGCTATAACCAAACTGGCCCATTACCACGTGTGCTGCACAAGGAGTGCAGAGCAGCATTTGATAGCCATGTGCGAAGACCATGACCGCATCCTTTTAGCAGGCTGTCCCTCATACGACAAGCTTCTCTCTGCCAAAAATAAGGACTACATGAGTATTATACGCATGTGGCTAGGTGAGCAGTCCACTTTTTATGTTTTTCATATGACTTTCAACACTAGACAAACTCAGTAACTAGGTTATCAGTCTGTGGGATCTGTTGACTAGTGGCTCTGAGAAAAGTACAGGAAAAAGAGAGACAGACTGCTTGCTAATAAGTTTAAGTTTGCTTAATTGGAGATGATTATCAAGCATCAACCAGTGTCTTTTCAAAAAACTAGTACATTTGGTAATACTATCCAGTATTTATTTCTTTCTACATTTTGTTCTGTGTTCTACCATGTATACCTGGAAAGCTACAATTCTGTCCCAGTAAACACACCTGGTCCTTTTGCCAAATCAGAAAAAAAAACCAAACCTCCTTAAATGGGTAATGTCTCTGACCTGAACAATTTAAAAGCAGAACAGTCTTATATGAACAGTTATTTTAGTGTAAAGGATATATTTAAATAGAATCAAAGCTCTTCAGGGCTAATCTAAAAAAAATCAAAGGGAATTTATATTACAAACTTTCTTTTGAGGAATGCACTACAACAGGGCAACATGCACCAAAGGCTTTTGGTGCTTCATATTCATTGATTTACAGATAATTCCTGTAAACAATGGGGTTTTGTGTTTGCTTTTCATCTTTGACAAAGCAATCTCCTCTATGGCACATAAATCTGTGTAGTTGGAAGCTGGAATCTTCTTAGATCAGCAGGTGAATATTTTGGAGATAAATTTTTTTATCAAATGTACTAAAACAAGTATCACTGATTTTTTTAAAGCAATGGGAATGAAATTTTTGCTTGAAGATGGACAACTGACAAGAAGACCTGGGCAGTTTCAGGGGTTTCATGTTATTCCAGATTTACACTGGTGTGAGAACAGGCTCTTGACCCTGGTATAGTCTTGCAAAGCTTTAGATGTAGGCCTGCAAGTTAACAATTTGTTGGGGTTTAGGTAGTGGTCTGTAAAGTTATGAGACTTGCTTAGAGAGGCAAATAACAAGTTAGACCGTCTTGTTACTCCCTTGAGTTTTATTGTAGCATTGAAATTTATGTGTTAGATATACCATTCAGTGCCTTGACTGTTCAGGCTTTCACATGATTAGTTTCAAAAGTATGTCCTCCTTTCCTCTCACTATTCTATGCCAATAAAAAAAACTTCTCTTGGGCTCCATTTGGACAGGTGAAGATGTCAAAACCAGAGATTATATAGTTGCCTTGCAACATCCTGTAACCACAGATATTAAACATTCTATAAAGATGTTTGAGCTGACACTAGATGCACTCATCTCCTTCAACAAGAGAACACTTGTCCTATTCCCTAACGTGGATGCGGGTGAGTAAAATACCGTCATGACAGAGGGACACATAACAGATTGTCTTGAAAGCGTACATAGGTTCTTATGGAGTGCTTTTATCCCAGAACTTCAGCCAGATGGAAATAGCTGGATGGTCTTAGCATCACGTGTGCATCCACTGCGGCTCCATGTTCACATTGCTGGAGCACATTTCAGCTTTTCAAAGTGGGGAGGAAGATGAAGGGAAACCATGTGACATGTAGAAGCGATATTAGTGCCTCTTAAATTAACTAAAAACTTCCAAAATATTTTTGCAGTGGATTTGAGGTCAAACTTGGGCTTATGTGCCTAGCTCTGCAACTTACACTGTAAAGATAAAAAAAGAACCCAAATAACTCAGAGCTGGCAACTCAATGAACAGCTGTTAGCTCCTTTGCATGTTTGGACTTTCAGTTTAACAGCAGAACTAGAACCATTTATTCTACTTCTTGTTTTTCTGTAGGAAGCAAAGAGATGGTTCGAGTGATGAGGAAGAAGGGCATTGAACATCATCCCAATTTTCGGGCAGTAAAGCATGTCCCATTTGACCAGTTCATTCAGCTAGTTGCTCATGCTGGTTGTATGATTGGTAATAGTAGTTGTGGTGTCAGAGAGGTGGGAGCATTTGGTACACCTGTTATCAACTTGGGGACACGTCAGACAGGAAGAGAAACAGGTACATGTTTGCTTAACTGCTTTAATTTCCTTGTGGTTCTGAGGTTTTTTTCTTCCACAGGATAAAGGCAAATGAATGCTTGACAGATGCCATCTTGCAGTATCAGTGCAACATAATTTTTGACCCATTTTAAAGCTTCACTGGTTATTCCCGTATCATGTTAGTCCTGATTGTGTGTTTTACCTAAGATAATGAGGCTTTTATCTATAGACAAGTTAAAATATATCTCCATTTGCAGTGGATGCCATTTAGCACAATAGGGAAGTAATTGTTTTCCTTTCTAGGTAGTTTGATGTTGGACATGTATTAAAATTTCACTTTAAAAAAATATGAACTCTTCACCACTTCAGGAAGTACCTGTATTGTGGTCTTTCACAGATATGTAGATATGACACAAATAGCCATTTACCCCCTGTTTTCATTCGTGCATTTTTAATTTAAGAATAGAGTTCTGTTGAAGGTTAATGTTCTGCTTTTTAGTGTTTTGTAATGCATGACAGTGTATCATAGGAGTCACCATTGCTTTATTGGGAGCAAGCAGAGGCACATAATTGATGAAGAGTGATGTCAATCTGGCTGGAGTCTTTCTTGCTCAGAGGAAACAAAATAATTATTTCTTCATTTCTTACCCTTTAATATAATTTGAGGAGCTGACCTGTCCTATTATGTTAACTTTTGTCATCTAGGTGAAAATGTTCTTCATGTTCGTGATGCTGATACACAGGATAAGATTCTGCATGCTCTACAGCTACAGTTTGGTAAACAGTATCCATGGTAAGTACATTCATCTTGCTTCTTGGAGGGGGGATGTTAAAGCAGTAGAGTAAAAGGCATTGAGTCCTGAGATGGTTCATCATATTTGATCGGAATGCTTTTAATGAACTAATCTGAGGTTACAGATTATTTTTCATTTCACATACCTCATTCAGAATCATAGTACAGTGTCCATTATGCAGGTTAGTACTTGTAGACCAAAATGTTACTAGTAATTTAACATCCAACAGAAAATCAAGAGGACAATATTCATATGTTAGCTTAGACTAGCATGATTAAGAGAGCAAGCTTGTTCCATAGGAGCAGCATGGAGGACAACATTCTGCCTCCCTACCTCTGACTCGTGCCTGAAGGACACACTACTTTGTAGCTGGATTGACCCCAGGCATGATACGTAGACAGTCCTGAGTGCAAGCTTCCAGGGGAGTTGCAGCATTATAGCAAGATTCTTTTTATTATTCTTCAGTCATACAGTACTGATCCTCAGTTCTTCAATGTATAAGTTCTTATAAACTTCAAGAGATAATATTTGTCTAATTACAGATGAGGATCAAAAGTGTATTTCTTAAGAATCTCAACAGAGTAATAAAACTGCATTCTGTAATACCAAATGTCTGACACCATGTATGATGATGTTTTAAAACCAGATTTGTATGTTGAAAACTGACATGAATGTACAGTTTATTATTATGTATTTGTCATTGTGTGATAAGTACATCTTGTCTGGACTTGTAGCACATACATAAACTTTCCATAATTTTAAAGCTTTATTATGTGATTCCTTTCATTAAACTCTTCTCTTTTTTTTGGCATCATTAGCTTTCCACTTTTCTACATTCCGTGTTTTGTATTCCAAAATGGAGCTAATGCCAAACTTGAGCAATCTGTTGTGTGATCTTCAAACTACTAACGCTATCTACCATATCGCATGACAGACTCGAGTAGTGTGAGCTGCAGTATTGTTATAGTAGTCATATCATAATTTTGTAATGACACAGTGTTACAGCTTTCTGTCATATCAAGAACCTCATAGATTGCAGTGTTATTTCCAATTAAATTGATTTTTTTTTTCATATTATAGCTCAAAAATATATGGAGATGGCAATGCTGTTCCAAGGATTTTGAAGTTCCTTAAATCTATCGACCTCAAAGAGCCATTGCAAAAGAAATTCTGTTTTCCTCCTGTCAAAGATAATATCTCTCAAGATATTGACCATATTCTAGAGACACAGAGTGCTCTGGCTGTGGATCTAGGCGGAACAAATCTCCGAGTAGCAATTGTCAGTATGAAGGTAAATATTCTGTTATACTTTTAGATATTCTGCAAACTCCATTGGGCTTTGTGGTTCTGTTCCTACAATGGGAAGTGGGCTTATGATGCAGAATAGCTCCAAAACAAAGCAGTCCCAATAGCTTTTGCTGTTGAGGGGTAAATTAAATTTTCCCTCGTTTGTTGCAACTCTCATACAGTCTTGATAGAACTTGCCTGAGGGTTTGCTCTTTGAAGATTGCTGTTAAACTAGCAAAGCCCCTTTGCTGGTGCATGGTCCTAGCTGTTCCCTCTCTGTGGGAAGTCATACAGACCTCGAAGAATGGGACAACTTTCAGATGTGCTGGTTCCTTGTAAAAGGTGACTCAGTTCACCTTGCAACTTTTTATATGTCAAGCAAAAAAGAGAAGGGCTTCAAAAGCAGTCTTTTTACTTCCCTGCTGCCTTACAAAGCCATGTAATAGGCACACAGAACCATTTTGACCAACCACTAGCATCTAGCAAAGCCATCTACTAAGGGGGAGTTGTGGGTTGATGGTGGGTGAGTTCAGGATACAGAACTTTGCATTTCTTCTACCAAGAGAAGCACAGCCAGTAATCAAAAATTCTTAGTATCTTCCTGCATAGAAGCATAATCAGTAAGACAGTTCTGAGCCTCAGCTGGAACAGTGTTCACTGTAATGCATCACACCACAGAGATGTAGACCAGTTGGAGAGAGAATCAGAAGGAAAAACAGTAATTATTACAGACATGGAAACCAGGGAAAAGTTGAAGAAACTCGAATTCTTTAGCCTACAGAAGAGAAAACTGACTGGATAGTAGGGGAAAAAAAAAAAAGCCTTCAGATATGTAGAAGCCTCTTTCATGAAGAGAAAAATCAGATTCACCTGTGCATGAACTAGTAGTAAAGTATTAAAACAGTGGAAGGGAAAATTATTTTAAAATTTTTCTTAATTGTTCAGGCTAGCTGTCAATGCAAGAGAAGGCTGGAATAGATAGCCTGGAAGGATATGGTGTCTTCATTGCGGAAATAGTAGGAATTGGTTTAAAAAGGTCTCTTAATCAGCTGCATTATAGTTCCTTGATCTTGCATTGGAAAAGGGTGGTGGATTTGAGTTGTACGATGATCTTCTAAAATTCCTATCAGCATTTTTTGGTTGGGTTTTTTGGGGTTTTGTTTGGTTGGTTTTTTTATTGTGTTGACTGTGCCTTTGTAAGAAAAGAGGTGCTTGATGGTTTAATGTCATCATCAGAATAAGCAGGATTTGATAAATACACTAGAATTCATAGAGACTTTAAAGATTGAGTGAATTTTGAGTCTGAAGTGCCTCTCTTCCTGTAAAAGTAACCCACTTGAAACAGGCTGGAATTTACAGCCTTGTAAAGGCTCTATGGAGATATGTTCAGGTTTAGGGATACTGTGTGATTTAATGGTCTCCTTGCTTAGAAGTTCCTCAACCCATTTCTCTGGTAGCGGCACAGTAGGAAGCTTTCCTTTGCCTGTGTCATAGCACTAATAAGTATGCATTGGTTACATAGCTCTGCCAATCATAGACAACTTTACAAATGTTTGACAGCCTACTTAGAAAGATGAAAGTTCGTGCTTGGCAAACGTAACAAAAACTGAAGTCATAAAAAACAGCAAGGCAAACAAAATGACATCAGTATCAATCTGGTGCCAGATCACTTGCAAAACTGTCTTTCAGTGAAACAAGTAAATACACCCATGATCATGAGCTGATATCTGGATCAATGAAAAAACCTCAAAATTTCTATTTAAACTTGTGAGCTTCAAGCTTAGAGGATAAAAATTATTTGGTGATGGTGTAAAAATATTTGAAATAATTCTTATGCAGGTTGATAAAAGATAATTAGGACTGAAGAATTTTAACTCATTTAGATACCCATCTTCCTGTTTTTTGAGGGACACACACACACACCCCCATAAAAATCTTGAACTCTGCAGCACTTTAGAGATGTGAATAAATCGCCTGTTGAGAAGTCTTTGGCTTTTATCCTCAACAGTGTTGGACAATTATTCATACCATTAGACTGCATACTTCCAGATAACTTAGATTAAGTCAGACATAGTTACCCAGAAAGAAAAGTAGGTTGCCCGCAGAGAGATGAAGGGCTATGTAAATTGACCTGATGTGGTCCAGAATTGTTGCATTCATTTAAAAGGAGATGTCTGTCAGATCTTTAAGGCCTTAAAGACAACTTTTAAAAGTATAATTTTTTTTAGAAACAAAATTCACACCACATTTTCTGCCAACACAACCTGGACAAAAAATGAATTAAAAGAAACTCCTGTCCATTTTGCAGAGTGTAGCTTGAAGTGGAATTTATGAAAGTTGAAATGTTAGCAAATCACAGTGAAAAGGATCAGACTTTCATAACAAAATTAACACAACAGATGTAAGCATTTAACAGGAAATGGCAGAGTTGAAGGTGTAGTTTTCTCTTCATGAAGAAAACAACTGACTTTTTAAAAGCAGTTGTGTCTTCTGGTAATGTTTGCTGCAGCCTTGTCTTCCAAAATAACTTCCTCTAATTCCCCTCCACCTCCAAACCAAAAGCGAAGAGAAAACTAAATCTAAAAATCCCCAAACTATTGCTGATGTGATGCTGAGATGGTGGGATCCAATACTCAAACCAGTGACTTCTTGGAATTTCCTAAGTTACTGTGGTGACAATGACTCAGCCATGTTGCACGTCGACTGCCTCTGTTACTCCTTTTTGCTTAGTTCTATTAATACAATGCTGTTCACTGAGATATATTGTAGAGTACAAGGGATATGATAAGGAGAATAACATTGCTAAGCAGCATACCTTCTGCAGTTTCCTGGCCTAATCCTGCAATATTAACATTACATTAAGATTAGTTCCCACAGATCCAGGAGTGCAAAACGAATGCTTTCGTTACCACTGCATGACTGCTAGGGTTGAAAATAATCCCTTCCTCCTGGACTCTCCCTCCTCCGAACAACATATATCACAGTAGATTGTACTCCAGAAATATTTCAAGTGACTCAGAAGTATAATTACTCAGAAAGAAAAATATCTCTGAAAGGATAGTAAACTTTGCATTGAAATTTCTAGCATTTCTCTCTGGCTGACTCTCCTCCTGCTGATAAAACAGCAGCATCTGTGACACCAGGCAAAACTTTCATGTAGTCAAATTGGAAACATTTTATTCTTAAAGCACTTTAGCCATTGCTACTCTCTTACTTTTTTTAAACACATCAGTATTGAGCTTTAGTGCATTGCTGTATCACCATTTACTCCTAACAACAGTTCCAGTAGCTCCTGTGGTATTTCCTTACACAATCCATGTGTTCCTTAAAATATGTATTTTTATTTCGGACAGGGGATGTTATTCACAGAAGCAGAATGTAATGCCTCATCTTGAAAACATCCCCCAGAGCTGTCAGGAATCTTGCACAGAACAGCTTGTAGGACCAAGATCTAAGGCATGCATCTGCTTGGTTTTGTTTTAAAGACAGAAGTTATGACTCTCCATTTCCAAGTTGACCTGTAGGTTAAATTGAAGAGAAATTTCAGCATGAAGTAAATTTCTGTGGGGCATGTTTTGTTGTTTTTAATTTCTAGGGTGAAATAGTTAAGAAGTATACACAACTCAACCCTAAAACTTACGAAGACAGACTAGAATTAATTCTAAAGATGTGTGTAGAGGCTGCATCAGAGGCGGTAAATGTGAACTGCAGAATTTTGGGAGTAGGTAAGTTAACAAATACTATGTCCTTTCATCTACGTTTTTCAACATGAAATGAAATCACTACTGATTAATTTAAAATACCTTTCTGAAATGGATCTTCTGTATTTTAAGCTCTTAAATTACATTCTTAATGCAAAAACCTTTTAAAATGTCTGCGAAAGTGAGAAGCTGACTATAAAGACTAAAGTTGCCTCAGTATGTAACAGCCATGAAAGCAATCTGCAAAGTTGTAGCTAAAGTATATCTAAAATGTGTGGCATATAGATTTTGTGGATTTTGAAGCTCTCTGCAGTCTCAGAATTGTGAGTCAGATGCTTACTGTATATTGAAACAGCTCTTGAAACAACTGCAGCTGAGTCAGGTTTCCTCTACTGTCTGTAAGCCTTTCTTTATGGCCAAGATCAACTGTGCAGCAGAATTCTGAGTTACACTTGGCCAGACTAAAACGGCTAAAATGTTAGACTAAATTTGCAGCTAACAGAGACAAAAGCAGCCTTTTTGTTGATTTCTAGTTTACTTACACTGCAGTAGAGTTCCAAGTTAAACTGTGTGATTATACCAGACAGGAGTTCTTCAGTTTAAGGATGACTGGGAGCTTTGGTCTTAGATATTACAGTTATTTACGAAGGTGTTGAGTAATGTGTCTTGGATTTTTAAGGACATAAAATCCTCATGTCAGCAGAGAAATGCTCCAAACGAAAAGTAGTCTGCTCCAGACCAAAACTTACTTGATTCAGAAAGTATAAAGAAAAGTTAATTTGAACTTCTTTTAAAAGTATTTTTCAAAATGTTGTTAGACACACAGAGCTGTAAGAATTATGTCAGACCTTCAGATCAAATCTTTCAGACTATCTGTTGGGTAATACACATGACTTAACCACCCAGACTATTTTGTTGTGTCCAAATGTTAAATCTTGAAAGCCTCACAGTTCTGTAGAAAATACGGTAAACTCTGTAGTAGTCACTGTTGCAAGTATCTAAGAACAGTTTACAGTCAGCTACGTTTATTAGGATCATGAAACCATAAACTGGTTTACATAGGTTTATATATGGGAAAAAAAACTTCCCCTTTTGTTTGTCATTTTACAAGAATTACATTCCTATTTATTCTTCAGCCCTCTTCCTTCCATGACTGATTGCTTACTGTTCAATTACGGAGTAATGAAGGGAAAAGTTGTGCTACAGAGTAAGAAATTTCTTACCTGGCTATTTGTTAGCTGCTCTTTGCCTCATTCAGACTCATAGTTTGAATCAGAATACTAGCTGAAAGTTCTTTTTAGAGAATGATATATAATTCCTATGGGAATAATTAACGCATTAGATTCTAGTAATTTCCTGAATGCTAATAATCGTAAGATGGAGAGTTCCTATAACTTCGGAGAAATTTTTGCAAGACTGAGCAGAAAGGCTGGACTTAATCCTGGACTTTTTATCCATAACACTGGCCTTCTTCCAGCTATTGTAGGTAAGAGTAAAAGTAATAACCATTGGAAATGAATAAGGAGAAAGAGCTACTAACAGAAAGCAATGGAAAAAAGTGTTTTCCTCCTTTCAGTCCTATAAACTGCTGTCAACACTGACAATAGTAGCTACATAAACATAACTTTGATTGAAGAACTCCCGCTAATAAAAAACAGGTCTGCAGTGATTACAAAGTCAGGCTTTGAGAAAAAAAAAATCGTAATTTTCAACATCTTTTTGTCTTTATGATCAAGTAAGTCTAGATCGCAATACCTCTGCAGTTAGTTTCAATTTTATTATTTTAGTTGGGTTTTTTTTTCACTCAAAATAAAGCATTTATATTAAAAACAGCTTTATGAAAATGAAGGAAAAGTAAAGACTATCAGGCCCAAAGAACACTACCAGCTGTTACTGAATTTTTTTTTACTTTTACAAAACACAAATTTTAAATCAAAGGAGACCCAGGTCCATGCACAGTAACAGCTATCTGTTTACTGCTATTAAGCAGTATTTAAGTTCTCTTTCTGGAGCTGACAGTAGAGAAAACAGGATGAAGAGATAGCTTCTGCTAATTCCCATAGTCATTTACATCAATTAAAGAATTATGGCATTTAGAAAAAGTAGACTTGTTTTACTAAGGTATTGCTGAGTTAGCAACTAAGTATTAAATAAGGTTTTGTAATAAACATTAGGTTCTTAAAATCCTAGGGAGACCTTCATTGATTGACATTGGGAATGTCATTTCTATTAGGTACTTCCTGACAGGTTCTCAGATGATTTGTTCTTTACAAAGTGGTATTTTTGGAGGTCTTACAGCTTTAATGTTCAATTCAGCTGCTTGTCTTGTAGCTTTTCTGGACGCTTTCTATTATAATGTTAACCCTGGGACTCTTTTTTTTTTTTCCCCTGAACGTCTTTAGGTAAGTGACACAATTATATAATCTTCCTAGAAGAATGTTCAAACTTTGTTGTCTAGAGCTAAATACCTCCATAATAGAGTGACCCACTTTTCAAAGGTCCTGACAGAGTCCATCAACTTTGGAAGTCTCTCCAGCTAGAGAAAACTGGTTTGGCTAATAGTTCCTATTATTAGCCATTATGCTGTTCAGTAGAGAAATCTCTGAACAGTTTTGATTTTTCCAGAAAACAGTGTATTGTTAAGTAGAAATCACTACTCTTAAGTCCAGCAATTCTTTTTAGTCATTCTAAATCTTGATAGTTACAGCAAATTTCAGGATACTTCTACTGTTCCAGGGTTTGAACAATTTATTTTGTACAGTTTGCTATTGTATGTCTTTCGTACAAGACTAAGAAGAAACACAAGTATTAAGTGATTTGCTGCAATCTTGCTCTAAGTAGGAACATTAACTGTCTAACACTATTACCCATCTAGTTAGTATTAAGATACTGGGTGCATTGTGATTACAGCAATGGAGTTCTATGAATTACCTTTACATGTCAGAAACTGCGCTGCCAGTAATACTTAGAAATTTTTACTTTCATGCTCTGCTTCAAAGCCTAGTATTAGCAATAAAAATACTTGTCATTGCAAAGACAAAATAGATCTTTTACTAAAGTACTACACAGACTTAGTTTTTGTTTTTCTCTCCTGTGTTTTTGGGACTTAGGTATTTCCACAGGTGGACGGGTAAACCCCCGAGAAGGAATTGTGCTTCACTCCACAAAACTCATTCAGGAGTGGAGCTCTGTGGATCTCAGAACTCCAATATCTGATGCTCTGCACCTGCCAGTCTGGGTGGACAATGATGGAAACTGTGCTGCTCTAGCAGAGAGGAAATTTGGTCATGGAAAAGGAATAGAAAATTTTGTAACACTCATTACTGGTACAGGTGGGCATGTTAATAGTTTAATGAAACCCAAAGTCAAAATACCACCACCATCGCTCAGAAGCTCAGCTGATCTTAAAAGCATGAACACCACTACTATGCCTGCAAACTCCTAACATATTAGGTTCTTAAACCAAAAATCCTTTTACCACTGTATCTATTCGTTTCTTTCAGGGTACTTTTTAATTTTAATTTATTCAGGCAAATGAAACCTTTTGCATAGCATAAGCTTCTTGATAAAAGAAGTTCTGCTGATAACAGCTATGCAGGCAAACCATTTTTTCAAAATAAGGAAAATCTAAGCAACGTTAGCTGGAGTAACTTTGCTTTTTTTAGCTTTATAGCTTAATTGTCTTCCAGCTGCAGAAATACAAGTCAGATCAGCATATGTATCTAGAAGATAAGGAACTGAATATGAGGATGATGCTTATTATATCTCAAACACAAATGTGGCGTAACTTTTCTCATTTTTAAAGTATATAGTCCTTTAGACTGGTGGCAATAATAAGTAGCTGATGAATTCCCACCCAGGGTTTAGGAAGGGGCAGCAGAGGATTGCAGATTTAAGTGTCCTGGCTCTTTAGGACACAGGTTTACCTGTCTAAATACAGCATTAGAACATCTCCTCTGAAATGCAAAATTTTAAGGCCACTTGAAAGGTTAGTTTTGTGCATAAAGAGCATGACTCACAAGCTTAAAAGATCTGTCATAGTAGTTCAGTACCATCCATAGGCTTTTTAAGAAAGGAGAAGCATTATATACCATTTCGATACACATATGAATAACAGGGAGCTATGAGGTTGCTTATTAGGTGTGTCAAACAGAGAAGAATTCTTCAAGAACCAGTAATTTTTGGTTTCAAGTGCAGAAGACCACTGATGCACATATTTCCTCTTGTCTGTATTAGAATAAGCAAATGTCAACATCCTGGAAAATTACAGTTTAAAAACTGTCTCTTATCCCCTTTTTTTTTTTTTTTTTTAATCGTATAAGTCTTTGTATCTTTGCAGGAATTGGAGGTGGAATCATTCATCAACACGAATTGATCCATGGCAGTTCCTTCTGTGCTGCTGAGCTTGGGCATATTGTTGTATCTTTAGATGGACCAGAGTGCCTGTGTGGTAGCCAAGGATGTATAGAAGCATATGCCTCTGGAATAGCATTACAGAGAGAAGCTAAGAAACTGCATGATGGTATCTGTGTACTTTATTTTTTAAAACATGATTACTAAATTGCAGTGTAGGAAGAAATTTGCAAAGATAACATTAAGAAAAATAGACCTGCCATCTTTTTCTAGGAGTTGTATAGGCAACCAGATAGGATTCCTGTGTATGGCCAGCCCAGGAGCCACCACAACCTGTGTAGTACAGTACAGTTCTTCAGTGATGGCAATACGCAGGCAAGCCACATTTGGAACCACTGGTCTCAAAATTACCAGAAGCATGTAGTAGAGTTTAGTCTCTCCTTTTTAAGCATGCCATAAGGTAATCTAACAGGCATTCTGTGAGGTTTGATTTCTCGGTGATTGTCTTTCAGCAATAGCTTCTCAGTCTTGCATAAGTTTGAGAACATTTATATTTTGTTTTATTAACTTTTGGGGCTGACAAGACTAGTGAATTACCATACTGTAACTGTTTGAGTTTGATGCCCTGCTTCTACAAGCAGTTCCCTGAATAATACGGATGAGACTGCTGTGGCTAAATTCAGTGTTGGACAGATGGCTCGGGATTCAGGCTTCGGTATGCAAGTAAAAGAGAAGTTAAGATCTTAACTGCCTGTTTGTCACCCTCCATTTCTTGACTTACCATATCACCATGTTTTTCTCTTGGCTTTCTCTCCTCTTTAAACAGAGGATCTGCTTCTAGTAGAAGGAATGTCAATGAAAAAGGAGGAGGTTGTTAGTGCTGCACATCTCATTCAAGCAGCTAAACTTGGGAACACAAAAGCAGACAGCATTCTCAGAACAGGTGAGAACATAGCCCAAAGGGTGGAACCCTTCCATGATTATATTTTTGAGGATACAGAAATGGTAATCCACTGCAACACTACAAACACAATGCTACACATTGAGGACCTCTCTATATAAAAATTACTAGTCTCAACATTCTTATATTAGAAAATATGAGGAATATTGGGGACATTCTATTGTAGGCAAGTGAATGGCTAGTCTGAGCAAGCAAAGGCAATTTACCTATTACTTTACACGGATATTTTACTGTTTTACTAGCTTTAAACACAGCCCTCTTCCTCATACGTAGCTGATAGCACTAAGATGGCAGAGTTGCCCATTTCCCATAGCTTACAAGTGTGGTAATGCATTGCTTTGTCCTTCACATCCATATCACTGGATAACATATTATTGTGCAATAAAATTGCCTTTTTTTTCTTTTACTTTTGAAAGAAAAATTAATGGCATACACACATTGTCTGATAACATAAACTCAAAACAGTCTGCCATATGGAACAGAACACTTTCCTGACTGTGTCATTTGCTGCTAACAGATGTATTTCCACTACTGATGCCTGGACAGCTTTGAGTATTCTACTTAATTTCTTTTACTTTATCGTTTCAGCTGGGACAGCATTAGGCCTTGGAGTTGTGAACATTCTGCACACCATGAACCCCTCTCTTGTGATCCTTTCTGGAGTTCTAGCTAGCCACTATGTTAATGCTGTCAAAGATGTCATAAATCGACAGGCTCTGTCCTCTGTTAAAACTGTGAATGTCGTGGTCTCAAACCTAGCAGATCCTGCTCTTCTTGGAGCTGCTAGCCTGGTACTGGATTATACTACACGTAGAATATACTAGGTGCCTGGCAGAATTATAAAAATGGACTATTCAAATTCCTAATGGGTGAAGGGAATACTTTGCCCAAAATTGTCTTTGATGAGAGCATCTACTGAATCAGGGTAGTGTTCTGAATAGTTAGTGACTACTTCAGCATTTCCTAATGGAGGTATTATCTTTTTGTACTTTTCCTAAATTTCGTCTGACTTCGTAGGAACTAATGTGCAATTCTGTCATTTTTAATCACCTGTGTTGGTAAGCCCATATGTTGCTTTAAGTGTAGCTGAATTATTTATATCTTGATGTATGCTGGGGAATATGTGTATAGTGTGTCAAATTATAGCTAACACTTGGCGATCCGTATCTCATTTCCTACCCATGTGAAATGAGAATGTGACCAGCTTTTCAGTTTCCAGGTTTCCACCCCCAAAGTAAATATGATGTAATTGCCAATAGCAGGTAGTAATTTCAGTGGGTGGAAATGAGGGAAGTTGCCTCTACAGTTAAAAGGCTGCATTGAGAAATTGTGGTTCACGAAGGACTTGGTGGAGGCAGTTATTTATTATCATCATCTTTAGAGGGCAGAGCCCCATTTTAGAAGCTTTGCATATGAAGGAAAAAAAAGACCATGGTCTAGTGAGCTTACAGCCTGCAGGGCAGTCCAAACAAACTGACAAGTGTAGCAGTGAGCATCTTTGTCTTCTGGCTATGGCCAACAGTAAATTATTTGAATTTTATTGTTTGGGATTTTCTCAAGGTACTTAGTCTACTCCTTTGTCTGCCAAATTAGCAGACAGAGGTAGCCAGTTAGCTGAAATTCAGCTATGAGGTGCATCTGATGATAAAGACTCTGCCTTTCAAGAAAACTCTTCCATGCAGAGTGACGTAGTGCATCTCCTCAGCAGTGCTGGTGGCTGCAGCTATACTGTTCTTGTCCTGCACTGACCATCAGCTCGCAGGGTGGGAAGTCAAATCTGAACCTTATCCTCACCTTCAAGACATTCAGAAGCCTGGGAGCAAAGTATGTCAAATAACCAATGAAGGCTTGCCTAGGTAAATGATGATTTATGTTTCTTTAATTAGTCCTTCTTGATATATAGCTCTGTCTTTATCCAGCTGCTTTTTAGAACACTTTCAAGATAGTAGTAGTAACTATTTGACACAAGGAGAAACTGAAAAACATCTAACTGATCAGCTATCCCAGAAAGAAGATGCCTGTGGAGGAACAGTCACAAGACCATGCTCTGTCCTGCATTTAATGGCCTATTTTGACACCTAACTAACTCAGCCACTGATTATATTCGTAGAAGTCCAATAGTGTACTAGTACAGGGGAATAAAAGGGGCTATTTCCACACTCAAACTTCTCTAACCAAAACAAAACAACCTTCTGCAACCACTGCCCTCTGCTGTTCAATAATCTTGGACTGAACAGCTATTAGTATAGTGAACCACTCTACTGGCTAATTCTGGGATATAATCTACACAAGTTGTCTGCACTTCATCCTCTTCTGCAAGGAATGCTTACTGAGAACTCACATCTTCATAGCAGATTTTAGAAACGCCACCCGATCTCCTTGATGTCTCTAGGAATAATTGTGCAGCCTCTATACCATAGTTTTTTACAGAATTGGCAAACATTGGCTCTTAACCATTTGCAAAATTGTAGTAGGCTTTATGTCACCAGGGGTTCTTAGTTCCTTTTCCTATGTGTCTTGGTTTACTTGGTGATTCCCACTGACTTCAATAACGGAGCAATAGCGCCATAAGCAGGTCAAGGGGAAATTGGCTTTGCTCTACAGTTAGAGTAGCTCAGTTCAGGAATAACAGTATTGAGGTTCTCACAGTGAGGAGATGTCTCATTTGATCTTTCCATCCTCTAGCAGTACAAGGAATGCCTGACTAGAACTGGGACCAGGCTTTTGCTTTCCAGACCTCCTGAAGCTCTGTACTTTGATGTCTCAGACTCCAGATACATTTTCCCTAGCAGCTGAAGGGAGGGTGCAGGCATAGAGAAAACATGAAAGACTAAAACACATTTGAAAAGTTTAAAGACCTTTAATGTCTAGTCCTGTTAGGAAAATGGTTCTTCAAATGCTTTTGAAAATGTTTTTTCTGTCAACTGGACAAGAACCTGCTGCATATGTGCAAGTGGTACAGAAGTCCTTGCAGGTTTCCCTGAGAAATTTGTGGGTTTATAAAATCAGAAATAATAAAAGAAAATATTTAATAGCATAATAGTGATTTTATTTGTTTGTTTTTCCTTCGTCCCTTGTTCAGAAACCGCCCTCGCGCTTCAGGCACTTTATTGTGGACCAGAGGTTTTATGGACACTAACCCCCCAACTGTACCCAGTCCCAGGAGAAGCAAATACCAGATGCTCACAGAACATCTGCAGTGCTGTCCTATCTAGTTACTTGATGCTGGCCCTATGTCCTTTAGAGCAACCCATACCATGAAAGTCATGAGCTCTACTGCGGGCAAACCAGCCTTTATATCCGTTACTGAGAGGGAAGAAGGGGAATGAAAGCACAACAGCTGAACTCTTCCCCCAGCTATTATCAGCATTTCAGAGCCTAAAGAAGCAGTGCATTCTCATTACATGCATTGGTATCACCTGCTAATACTACCTGTTGGAGGAGGAGGTTTGGTTTTGCAGTGTCCCTGGTAAGTGCATACAGTATACTAACTGCTGAAGCCTTAGCAAGAATGCCACTGCCCAGCCCTCTACACAGAATTGCATATGACACTCAAGAACTTGGGCAGGAGGAGACCCTTTATGGACATGCATGTTTATAATCAGCATTGCGTGAGCAAGCACCTGCAGTACTTAATACAGCAGAGTGCTGAAAGGTTGGAAAGTGACTTGAAACTGGAGTTCTTAGTGCTGCAGCTTATAATTCATGTAACCAGTAAGACCTCTACCAGTCCCTATACCACATTGCTTCTCATCTTCGACACATAGTTTAGTGGGTTTAGTGGGCATGGCGGCACTGGTAAGACAGTTGGACTTGATGGTCTTTGAGGTCTCTTCCAACCATAACAATTCTTTGATTCTGTGATTCTATCCTTGCATCTGGTGGAAAAAGACTGCTTTGTCCACTACAGCTCTGCTAAGCACAAAAACCCAACCAGCCAGGACTTGGGACCATGAGGCCAGCTGAGTTTTAGTAAATGTCTTTTTACAGATCATTGCTGATGCTTTGCAAGCCACGTATAGCTAATCAATACAGCATCAAGGTTTGGAATGTCTTTTTGGTCTCCTGAGCAGCAAGTTCAGTTATTCAGTATTTTGCTATCTCTACACTCAGAATTAACAAATGCCTCAGCCTTCTGGTGCTCTTGAAGCACTATCCTTCCTCCATTTAAGTGTATCAAAATTGTCAGAAACTTTGCCATATTACCAGTGGAGGCAATGTCAAGTTTGTATCACAAAACCACATCACAGACAGTAAGGTGCACACAGAGTTTATTCTCTGATTCAATCCGCATCAGTGAAATCTTTCATTGCGTCCCTTTCAAATGCTGTGGACAGTTCACAGGAGTTAGTAATGGTAAAACACCTGGACTGTACACCCCTTGAACTATTCCAGATAACTGTGTTTAAAAAATGGTTAGAACCAGTGCTAGAAGTGTAGGTGCTATAGCCATGTATTTAGTACAGTTGTTTTAGTCAGGCATCAAGCTATGTTTACCTCATAATCTGAAAGCAGATGCTTTGGACTGTGGGTACATAATGTGTTTTAGTAACAACTAAAAAATGTTCATGAGATTCTGAAGAAGACACAGAAAGCCAAATTTTTCTTAAGTCTTGCCTAAATTTGCACATATAGTTGTAGCATTTCTAGGTTGGTTCATTTAGCAAGTTCACACAAAACAACATCAAACTGTATAGTTTGCTATGGTGCTCAAACCACCCACTGTTTGTACTTTGGTATAAAATCAAAGATAAGTGCTCTTTCAGATTGAGCAAGGGAATGGGAAGGCAAGCATTACAGCCAGTTCTTTCTGCTGCTGTCATAATTGAGGGAAGTTTTTGGGTTCACAACCCTTCTTCTAACCTCACAAAGATACCAGTTCAATCCTTAACAAATCACAAATTACTGTTAGGCTGTTACTGCTGCCTGAAGAAAGATTTGCATGCTTGAAAGCACACATTTTTCTCTGTTAGTCTAAAAAGAAATAACACATCTCCACACCACGTCTGCCTTCCTTGTACTATTAGACCGCCACTGCTGTAACTCTATATCTGAAGGTGTTCTGAACACTACATCTGCCAGCTTTTTTTGCATGAAGCACATTACACAGAAATTTTAAATGCAAATAAAGTGTCAAATTTGTGCTTAATTAAACAAAGTGTATGAAGACTGTATTTAAGGTAAAATTTTGAAGAAATAGCCTGATTTTTTCCCAAAGATGCCTTTATTTTTAATTACAATTTTACAACCCTGTGATAAGTATGGGAACAGCAGTTTATAAAAAGCTGTAAGATTTTACTTCATGCCTGGAGCCAGGTAAAATTTCTGCACATAGTAACCACCTGTGACCAGTAAACAGCCAGGTGAAGCAAGAGATTAAATGTATGCTTGTAACTGCAGCCAAAGGCACTGCAACACTGTAATCATATACAATTGTCGGTGAAATTTGCATTACTGATGCAAGATGTAATGAAACAGTCCCCTGCTGA